TGACCTAAAGCCTGAATCACCAGCACTTGGGTTTTTCAGCTGCCTCCCAGAGCAGTCATCTGGTGAGGAGGAGAGGTCTCCTGGATACAAACACAAACACCAGCGAAACTCTTGCCAAATCCCTCGCACTGGGATCGGCGGCTGGAACAAACTCGGTGTCTTCACACTGAATGAAGCAGGGGCAGGATCCAGAAACAAAGAGTCACTCTGTGTGTAACCACGGTGCAGGGCATTTCCTCAGCCCCTCGGGGACTTCCTCATGCTGCCTCTTAATGCAAAGATCAGGAGGTCTGGGACAAGAAAACGACTGGAAAGCACTGTCAGACATTAAAGAAGTTCCCTTTCTGCTCTCAGAGCATCATCAATACCCTTAACTGCAATATAATGTCCTTAGGGTTGGAGAGTTGCAGGTCCCTCCAATCTAGGTATCATGCTGCCTTTAGCCCTATCACTGATCCTTTAAGTAGTCCTCTCCCAGGTTAACAGTCCCCATGTCAAACCCTGACCCACTCTGCTGAGCTCAGCTCTCTCAGCAGCAGCAGCACAATGCTGCCAGCACAAACAGCCTACTTAAGGGACATTTTAAACTCATTTACATGTCCCAGCTTAAAACCATGCCTGGCTGCCAGCTCTGGAATGCTGTTCCCCTGACTGCCCCACACTGGAAAACACTGCAGGAAACATCAGCAGGGCACTGCAGGAGTCCCTGACATCACCCAGAACACACCAGCAGAAATAATCACTGCAGAGTCTGGCCTGCCTTGCCAAAGGACAGAAACAGCTACAAAAGATGGAAGCTGCCAAAAGTCCTCAGGGAATTTTTCCCTAGGAACAGTGTTAAAAAGGTTTGATGTAAACCCAAGTCTGTTCTGCTTCATTGTTTCCCATCATTATGTGCTCTTTCCACTTTAGTGACTCATAACACAAACAGTCCCATGGTTTGGATTAATCTCCCGGCCTCTGCCAAAGCACTGGGAGGCTGTCACACCTTAAACATGTCCCTGACAATCTTGGGGAATAACTCGGAAAGTTTCAAGGAATCTAATTAAGCACCACCTAAACTTACCCTAAAAATCCTTAAACTACAGGTCCCTATGGCAAATCTGCAGGCTGATAACTGCACACTGCACAAATGATCTCCTTCTTGTTTAACATCAGGCCACCTCAGAAACAAATGTTAAAATCACTTGCAGTGTGAAGTTCACTGGCAGAAGTCAGCACAGTGTTACTACAGCACTCTGGGACACAGCTGAACATTTTCTACTAAAATCAGGAAAGTTTTTTAGTGGCTTATTTGTTTTAAAACAACCCTGTCTGAGCAAAAAAAAATCACATAAACCCCATGATTTTGAGAAAGTTCTTACATGGTCTGAACTTCATTACCTAAATCAGGCTCAGCTGAGGTCCTGAGAACAAACCATACCTTGTAAGACACAGCAACATCACATTTCTTGATTACACACCACTGCCTACACTGATGATTCTGTTACTCTTTCAAGTGGCATCTTACAGTTTTAGAGAAAATTTGAGGCAAAGTAACTTGACTTCAAAAAAGCTGTTGATTGAGAGAAAGGTGATGGCTGTTATCAAGAGATTTGTTTCTGCCAGGCAGGCTAAGACTTGCTTATCCAGGTCAGAAGCACAGGTTTGAATTCCAAACCCAGACACCTCTTCCTTTAATGAATCAGAAAATATATTAAAAGCCTGTTGTTCTGGCAGGAAGGAGTACATGTGATACTCAACATTTTCACTGACATTTGCCTTCAAACAAGCCCTCAGCAAACAGGATTTCCAGTGCTGTGCCCCGCACACCTGCAGCCAGTGCTCCCCCTGGGGACAGGGGGACAGAACCAAAGGCTGCAGAGCCAACACAGCCAAGGAGAGTTTGCAAACAGCTCCTCAGCACTGAGGTTCATCTCCCAAATGCTGCTGCCCTCCAGCAGTCATCAACAGAGGATGAGCAGCCACCACAGTGTGTGGTGAATGACTGAGCTCAAGGCAGCAGAGGGAAGGAGGGGGAGCAAGAGGGCTGATGAAGAACAGACAGGCAGCCACCTCCCTCCTGGGAGACACAGCCTGCACCACAGAAAGCTGCACAGGGCCCTGCCACAATGGAAAACTAGAACCCCAAATTTAAGCCTCAGCCTGAAACATATGCACACACACAGCAGCGTGAAGCCATAGACATTTTTGAACCCAAAGAAATATGTACACTATTTTACCTTCTCAGTTCATCTATTTGGGCTGGTGGAAAACCTGTAAATGGAAGACATTGTATTCTTTTGATAAATATGATGTTGTGTGAAACATCTTCCCCGAAGAAGGCAGGAAACAAAACTTACTTATTCATGTACCAGCATACAAATTTACTGCTTGTTCTTAAAACCACCAAGCAAAGAGGCTGCAGTGACAGGTCTACTGACCCACAAGGCTGTTTTTCTCCAGACACAATGACAGTGTCAGTACAAAATCCTCTCCAGGTTTCTCAACCTCAATGTGCTGCTTTTGGATTAAACAAGCCAGTCTAATCAATCTCTCTGTGCATTCTGCTCAGGTTACCTAAAAGAAGCCAAAGAATCTCAGCTGTGATGTGAGCACTTGTTAATTTGGAAATGCCACAAAAGCTGATGGAAGTAGCATGTGCAGCTTTGCAGCAACTGTACCTCCTTTTTATTTTGTTATTTTGCTATTTACAAAGAGTGTCCAGAGAGCTGACAAGGTCCCTGTCCTGCTGTCAGCCCAGGGAACAGAACTGCAGTTGACTCCGTGGTTCTGAAATAAATGGGGTCTGACTGCTGAGGTTCATTTTAACGTGGCTGCATGACCTGCTCAGCAATGGGGCTCTGACAGCTTCTCCTTCCCTCTTTTTTTAAGCTCCAATTTAATCAGATCATTAAAATATTTGTTGAAGTGCTCTGTCTGCCTGGCAGCATGGCCCACACTAGACAGACTAATGAGTGACTTATTTCAGCAGGAATTTTTTTGGCATTCCTGGTGGTTTCTTGTTTTGAATTGTTTGTGCAAAGATGTGGTAGGTGGGGCTTTGGAATCAATTGCAGCAGGCCTGGCACAGGATGGCACTCATGCTGTTCCTTAACCGTGGCACAAACAAATGTTCAACCTGCATTAGATTAAGAGGCACGAACAACTGGAGTTATTTTCAAGGTTGCATCATTACTCCAAATCCCATTTTCAGTGACGAAATTAAATTCTAAACAAACACTCTCATTCCATTTATAGATGCTTTAAAATAGTTTCTGAAAAATACACCAGAAGCATTGATCTCAGCACTGATTATTAACATGGACAGTTACAAATCCATTTACAGAAAATCCTTGTGTTCTTCTTTCTGTGCTTAAAGCACATCAGAAAGAACTGACGTGGGGAGAGCCAGAGAGTCCCAGCAGGACAGGCTAAGCTGCATCACCCCTGAAAATCACAGCACAAATGCTGTGCAGCAGCAGCTCTGGGGGCAGCAAACCTTGGGGGAGGCAAGAGGAGCAGTCCCAGGCAAGACTCTGTGTTAGCTGTGGCTGGGAAAACAGTCAAGCTCTCAGGTGCACAGATGCACCCTCAGGTCGGGGAATTCATCCAGAAACATAAACTCCAGTTGAGAAGAACTGCTGCCAACAAGAGATTCTGCACCCAGGGGTACAGGCTTTGACACCTGGCACCTCAGTTCCAGGTCTGAAAAAGCACTAGACTGGTCACTACTTTTCTTTTTTCACAGATGATCACCTAAAGGCTGAACCTGTGTATCAACTCTGGAAGTCTACTATGAGATCACAAAACCCTGTCAGGAGATGCCCAAAGTTTGCCTCTGTTTGTGCAGAGATGGGCAGTTACCCCACTGAGACCTCCCCAGGAGCACCTTTAGAACATGTTGGATAGACAGCAGAGAGTCTTCATCTGGCATCCCTTTATCATCTTTGATTTTGTTTTGTTGATGAATTAATTGGCTCCTTTCCTACCTAAACACCCAAATGTAACTGTTCTCAGTGTGCTCACACAGGGCAGTGCCAGCAAAGGACTGACTGCATTGAGGTAACATCATCAGCATCACTGGAGTGTCTCACAGATGGTTGCTGTCTCTGAGGCATTAGTTCCTAAAAGCCTGCAATGATGCAAGAATTCAGGATGCTCTGGACAGGGCAGTGGCAAGGGAATGGACAGGGAGTCTGCAGCTCTCACTGCAAGGTAAAATCTCAAAAATGCAATCTGGGTTACACGGCCTTGAGAAGCAAAAGGCTTGGAACACCTTTGAAGCAATCAAAAGCATGGCAAGGTTTATCAAAACCCTCAATTATTTTAAACCCCTAAGAGTGAGGATCATTACCCTTGTTCACAGAATTCTGACAGTACCTGCTGTGGTAGAGTTTGCTCTTTTCTGTCGTCACTGATCACAGTTGGTGGCAGGTGAGCCCTGAGAGCACTGAGGTGGGCACAGGCAGGGCAGGGGATACCCCTGCAGGTGAGAAGCTGTTCAGCTCAGTGCCTCTGAGCAAGTTTCAGTGAAACCCAGGTGTATTCCCTCACCTCTGGGGGAGCTGGCTCCAAACACTGCAGTGGGAACTCCCGGTGTCAGCCTGCAGGGAGCTGCCTGGGCTCACTGCATGACATCCCTTAGGTCAACAACATCAGGACACTTCTCCTTCTGGCTCTCCTGAACAAGGACATGGCCCTTGGAAAAACAAATAAACGCTCTTCCTCTATTAGGGCAATCACAGAGAGGAAATGCACACTTGTACAAGCAAGCTGTGAGTGAACAGAGGGATTGGCTGCTGCACTCCCCTTCAGCAACCAGAAAACGTGTCACTGGGGTCTGTGACAGCCCCTCCCTTCCCACCACAGTTATTGTTACCTGATTCTTTTTAATACTGAGTTTAAAGTGACAATCTCTTAATATTTAAGTGACATAATAATACAAAAGTGACGGTCTTTCAATATTTATTGCAAGATTTTAATCTCAAATAACAAGAAGATCATTTGCCCTGTGTTACCTCTACTGTTCCAGGTCACACAAAGCTGCCATGCTGTCCTGGGCAACAACGGGGCCTTCCTGCCTTTCCTTTTCCTTTCTCTCCCTGGAAAAGCAGAGGGGAGAAGTATCAATACTGAGAAATGCCCTGAAGGCTGCACTAGGACTGATGTTATTTAATAATCACAACACTGAACTATTCTACAGTCAATTTAAAAATTGGCAGCGTGTTGTAGAGTTCCATAAAAACAGCCCCAACACACAACCCGCTCCAAACAGAGCTGAAAACAAATGCCAGGCCAGCACTGTGAGATCTGGGGGCTTTTTCTCCCAAACTCAGTGGGCTGAGGCCAGAAAAAGAGCAGCATTATTTTGCTGTAGAGCAACACTTACCTGCAGGGTAAGAGCCAGGCCCACTCACTCTCCTTCAGCTGTGGCTTCCTGCTTCCTACAGCTTTACAACCTGTGTTATATTTAGGAATTTATACTTTGGTGGCATCACAAGTCAGGCTCCCCCAGTTCCTTGTTTCTTCTTTAGGTAACCAGCACTTCAGGAGCAGTCCCTACAGCACCAGCGACCCAGCACTCACACCCAGCACATTTTCTGCCTTGGAGACATTTTTTACCAGTTATTTTGTTGACACATATTGTCTCAAATTTCAGCTGTTACTGCCTGAAAGAAACACCCTACCCCTTTTCCCTTCTCCTCTCATTAAACTCCTTTAAATAGACTTATTTTTTATTTATAAATGGAGTACACTTTGGTACTTCCACCCATGAAACCTTTCAAAGCATGAACTCAGAGCAAATTACTTCAGTCCCACTTAATCCAAAAGAGATCAAACAAAACATAACTGAATTAAAAAGCCATCTCCTGTGTTGTATCCAAATTTCAGAGTCTCTACCTGTTCTAAACAGATAAGAAACTACAATATGCTATCATTAACGATATACTAGTGTAATATAAGAGTATACTATTAAGAGAAAAATGCAAGTCTTTTAGGTATAGAGATATAAGGGCAGACAGACCATCCATTCCTGACACATGAAACTGCATCAGGAAACTAAATTCCATACAAGTCTGGCAAAAGTTTTCACATATACAAACTGCAAACTGCTTTGGATCCTGCACACAGAGTCAGTTATCTGGGAGAGTGACTCACAGCTGAAACATTCCTATTATGAGGAGTCACTAAGGGCACTGAGGATTTTGAATCAGAGCTGTTTGTAATTTGCAAACCCCAGTTCAGCTTGTCATCAATCAGCTCATTGCTGCAGATAAAAGCAGCAGTGGCAAAAAAAAGAGAATAAACCGAACAACACTATAAATACATCCAACAGTTGGAAAAAACCCACATCAGAAAATGCTCTGTATTTGACAAAGAACAGTTTTTAATATCCATTCACTGTTTAAGCCTGGTCTAAAAAAACCCCTCCCTTCAGGATTTTGTGGCAGGTAAACTCCAGAGAACAAGTTTTTTGTGTTTACCTTCCTGGCACTGAGCCGTGTCCTGCCAAGCCCCAGCGAGCAGGGGAATGCTGGATCAGGTGTGTGTGCTGCCAACTTCCTAAATCCCACCCAAACCCTGCAAGAACAACTCTGAGGCCTCTGCTTCCCGGGACAGCACTGCATCCAAACAGCTCTCCAGAACATCAAACACACATGGGCTCAGGCAGCTTAAAACAGCTGTGTTGTTTACAAGACAAAAAGGGGGAAGAATTTATTGGACTCATTCTGGGAGCTCTCTAGAATTTATGAGCTCTTGGAAAATGGCAAGCAGAGGCGGAAATCCAGAAAATGTAAACCAAAATCAGAGTAGAATTTTCAAGCCTCGATTTCAAGGACTGTTTGTGTTGAGATTCTGTTGGATGAAATACTCCAAGTCCATCCCCTAAACCAGCTGTAATGCAGAGAAACCTTCCCTTCCCAGCAACCCCCTTACAAGCACATCAGAGAACTCCAACATTCCAAACAACTTGGATTTTCCACACAACTCCCAAGCTCCAGGAAACCACATCACACTGCTTGGCCTCTTCCTGGACAGTAAGGAACTGGCTCCAGTGTCCCTCCAACTGCTGGGGCACAGCACAGTCTGAAGGGTTTCTGGAACGTGGCTAAGATCCCATCCCTTGTTCCCCAGGCAACCATCAACACCTCAGGTAAGCACCACTGCACCTCAGAGGGACCTGACAGGAGACTCAGGCTGTGGCCAGTCACAAACACAGCAAGTAAGTGCAAAAGTCACTTCTGAGGACACACCAGAATCCAAACAATTTTTGGAAGTTGTTGTGGGGAAGCATAAAATGTATTTTATTACTTAAGCTGTGCAAAATGTAATTCTTTAGCTGTGTGTTTCCTAGCGCAATTTACGGCACATGCTATTCAAATACACACAGCTTTTGTTCCCCAAACCCCATTTGTTACACCAACCAAAAGATAAAAAAACATTATTTAAGTTATTTAAGAGCTGGGAGACACCATGTGCCAAAAAGGCTCAGTAATGATCCTGAAGTTGCTCTCCTTATGCACAATACACAAAATAAAATGTAGCTTTAAAACGTGTCAGAATAAAAACCTGTAGCGACTCTGGAAGAATTCAGGACACCGCCAGGTTACATTTCTGGTTGTTCTGTGGAATCAGAGCACTGTCACCCACTGCTTCATTCTTCATGAGGGAGCTCTACAGAAACCCCAGACCAACAGCAGACACTTTTCCCCTGTCAGCAGCCAAGGGGCTGCACCACTTGCTTTTTTCTCTGACTGAATTTGGGATTTTCCCTTGAAACACTTCCACTGAGGGACGAAGGGATTTAGGGAATGCTCCAGCTATGGAGCCATTTCCCTGCCAGCTCATTCTGCCTCCTCTGAAGCTGCAAGAAAGCCCCAGATTTGTTGTTGCCTCTTGTTCTTCTCCAGGCCCATTCCTACTTGGGTTGCATTTTGTTGTACTTGGTGTTCCATCTCTTCTTCATTTTCCTTTGCTTGCAGAAATTCTTCCTCAGCTTCTTTGGAGCCACACCTTCATTTCTCACAGGCTTAGCTGGCTTGCCTTTTGTCTCCACAGCTCCTGGCTGTCCCTCACAGGGTGTGTCCGGCTGTCCTTTTGCCCCAGCCATCTGCACACACACGGGGAGAGAATTCAAACAGAGAGCAGCTCAGAACACCGACCCAGAACTCATCCTCTGAACTCTGCAGTAAGCACAAACACACCCAGTGACACTGTGGAGGGCAGGCTGGAGGACAGGCACAGCTGCTGTCCTGTCACAGGGACATCTCCCCAGTCCTGCCTCTCCCCGTGCCGGGATTTCCTCCGGCAGAACCCGACGTGCCCAAGGTGCCCAGGAACAGATGCACAACTCCGGTTTGCCCTCATGTGGAGTCAGGGTGTGGCTAAACCTGCACTAAGAACCATCCCCCAGCCTGCTGAGCCAGGCACAGTCAGCACAGGGCTTTACACAGAAAATTTCTTACTTCGAAGGTGTCATTGTCCCTGTTCAGACACACTAGAGTGGGGGCTTTGGGGCATTCCCAAAGCTACTGCTCTGCTCTTCCAGCAATGGGAGACTGACCTTGTGCTTCCAGCCCTCCTGGGGGGCAGGGGGGAAGGTGCAGGGGACTCTTCCATGGCTGATGTGGTAGGGCAGAGGCAGGCTGGGATCCAGGGGCACCCAGGGCACCGAGAGAGCGGCAGGGACTGCAGGCAGCTCACGGTGAGCCTTGTGTAAGTTGTAGGATGATCTCGTGCTCTGGTCCAGGCAGCTCTTGTAAATTGAAACGGAGGAATCTCCTGCAGCATGAGACAATAAATAAGAGCCTTCCTGCAGACTACAAAGAGAAAAGTTCAAAATGAAAACCAGTATTTAAGTGGGTTTTTTGATTTTTAATTGATCAGAATAGCTATTATGTTCTTAATGCAAAAGCAAAATATCTTTAGCTATTTACTTATCAGTCCCTGTTTTGTAAAAAAAATGGACAAGAAAGCATTAATTAAACCATATTGATAAATACATATTAATTACTGTGTTTATAATGTATTCTTAATGTACTAATTTATCAACAGTGTACAGCTTGTCCTCATATTCAACTAAACATGCAACTGAAAACCGCCCATGTTGGGCAAACTCCAGTCCCCTAATCAGTGTCTCACACTGGTTATAGATACATTTAAATTACAGAAATATTATAAAGATAATATATATATAATTTATGTTGAATAAAAATCATAAATACATATAAATTATAAAATTACACTGCTTATAAATACATATAAATACAGCTGTGGACACAAAGCACAGACGTGCTTTCAATCACACAGGGGCAAACAGGTTTTCAGGAAGGTATAAACACAATTAACAAGAGTTGAGCACTTACTCAGACACTTTCTTCAAAATGTGATGAAGTATATTTAATGAATTTGCAGGCCTGTGAAAGAAAAAAAATACCAAAAGTAGTAGCTTGCAAGGTTTGTTAGGGTTTCCAATTCATTGCTAAAAAAAATTACTAAAAATACTCACTTGATCAGTCCAAGTTTTTCTCTTAAATTTTCTGGAGAAATCTTTTCTAGCATAATAAGCTTTGATGTGAAAGCATCAATATGTCCTGAAAAAAAGAAATTCAATTAAAATAAAAATGAACAAATGTAAAAGCATGATTTGCAGATCTAATGCATTTTTAAAAGAATAAAAAAATGTACTCTCTTAAAGCATAGAACAGTGAAAGGTATTTATCAATGTTGCACTACAACAGTAAAATGCAGAGCTGTTTGAACTACAGACATCCACAGCTGGACTGTCTTTGAAAACCTGGGAGTATGCCCCTGACCCCAGGAAATCTTACATTTTGGTGATGTGGGGATACACAACCTTATTCTGCCGTGGCCTTCACCTCATCAGTTAGTTTGTACCTTCCCAAGTTCACCTCACCTTTGTCACTGTGATTCCTCACTGGACAGATCATCAAAGCTGAATTTTACAACAGATTTACTTCTGAGTTTAATATACTTGTTTTTCTATTCTGATACATCACCTGAACACTTGTGCTATTTGATTTTTCTGGGGATTCTGACTTTTGGTATCTTGATTTTTAACCCCCTCACCTGAAAAATCCCAACTTAGGACTCAAGCCTTGCTCCTGGCAAATGGTCACAGGGTGAGGAGCAACAACTCCAAGCTCCCCTGCTCCCATTTTCCCAGCCCAGGCTGCCCCTTTCCCTCGGGAAGCACTGCAGATCCCCAGCACAGCTGTCCACGTGCTGACCGTCCCTCACCTCGGCTTCCCTCTCACTCCAGGTTTTCCCAGAAATCTGTCCTGTTCCAGCTCCCACGAGGGGATGAGGGAAAGGCAGCACAATCAACCCCAGCCTACTCAGTGACTTTCCTGCCTCACTCTAAATCTGCCCTCCTAGGACGTGGAAATGCTTCGACTGCACAGTCCAAAAACCACAAAAGCAAAGCACTTCACCTCCAAGCTCAACACCACCGGCAGCTTGTGTTGTGGAAGAAGACCAAGGGAGAACTTGCACAAAGAAAAAAAACATGCACCAGGACAAGTGATCTGTTGTAAACACTGCACATTTGTTACTTTTCTTGATATCTGTATTTTGTGCAGACTAAGCAGCCAGATTTACTGCTCTGCATTGCTCATTAGAGGAAAAGGGACTTGCAGTCATCATTAAAAAACAATTAAAAAATAATCTGAATACTGTGTTCAGAACTCCTTCTGTATTCTGTAATCATCAGCCTCTCCTCAAATCACAGACTTGTCTATTTCCAAACTCATTGATAACATAATGGGGAAAAAATAAAATAATTAAAATATCTGTGAACTGCTCCCACTTAAATTATGTAACCATATCTTATGTTTGAGAAGTGACTGATTGGAAACACTTGACATTCAGTAAGTTACCCAAACAGTAACATAAAGGGTTTTTTCCAACCCATTTTTAAAATAATCTTAATTTACAGTGAACTCAAGTGAAAGTAAACTGTTCTTGCAGAAGGCTTTTCTTAGGGACTTAATGCAAACAAGTGAATAATGGTCAGGGGAAAACGCTCCCATTGATCAGCAAAGCTTATCTCAACTTTATTTACTGCTCAGATAAAGTACAAGTGCCTTGTTTGGGAAACCTGTCAGAGATCAGTCCCTTGGCAGAGGCAGGATTTCCTCTCTGAGCAGCAGGGGCACTTCCACCAACAGCCAGGCAAGGTGCTCTAGGAGCAAGAGCAAGACAGAGCTCCAGGCTTGTCTGATGATAGAACCTAGAAAATAAAACATTCAGCTTCCTCTCAGCCCTGCAGCTCCTGCAGGAGGCCCTGGGGACACTGGTGGCATCTGGTGTCACCTGGGCACACCGGTGTTCATCTGGTGTCACCTGGGCACACTGGTGTTCATCTGGTGTCACCTGGGCCCTGGGCACACTGGTGTTCATCTGGTGTCACCTGGGCCCTGGGCACACCGGTGTTCATCTGGTGTCACCTGGGCCCTGGGCACACTGGTGTTCATCTGGTGTCACCTGGGCACACCGGTGTTCATCTGGTGTCACCTGGGCACACTGGTGGCATCTGGTGTCACCTGGGCCCTGGGCACACCGGTGGCATCTCCTGGGCTGGCAGCACTGCTGAGTCAGCAGGCTGAGTGACATCCCTCCCTCCAACACTGAGCAACAACCGTGGGGACACAGACCAAGGTCCAAAGAACTTTCCATCCACACTAATTTGACAATACAAAGACAGTAGAGATAGTGAATTAAGCCTTTTCAAGATAAAAGAACTTCTAAGCTGTTCCACACTTCCACACTCACACCGTGGGGTAGGTCTATGGCTTTACAAAGAGTTTGATATAAAAATTCCTTTATTATAAACCACAATATTTCACTTAAAATAATTCAAATTATAGCATGGCCTCAGAAGTCAAGTCTGCCTTTCTGCTTACACCAAACACACAACTGCAGTAGTCTTCCTTTCAGGTATCAGATTAATCAGATATTCATCAGAGAATGAGGTATTCACCCCATTTGAAGCTGCCCATAATTCCAGGATATTTTCACCCTTGGAGAATTGTCCCTGGAGTTTCAGGACAAAGCTTTCTAATGCAAAGAGCCCTCTGAGTAAATCTGGACACTTGCAGCATTGCATTTTTCCAG